CCGTGTTCCCCCTTCCTGCCTACGTACGTCTTGCCCGTGTTCCCCCTTCCTGCCTACGTACGTCTTGCCCGTGTTTCCCCTTCCTACCTACATACATGTTGCCCGTGTTTCCCCATCCTACCTACATAACTACCAGAAACACAGAGGCACCGTGAAATGATTTGGAGAAATGGGGTTTTCCCGAAGGAATCCCTTTCTCTAGGGATCCTACCAGAAGGGGCGTGACTACTATCTGAGGGCAGCGTGGGCCACAGCCACGGTGTCTTTCTTTCTGTCTCTGCCCCTGCACCCGCCTCCCGCCTTTGTACACACTTGACAGCGTGCCTGTTGCTAGCTCATGGTCGAGTCCATCTTAGTTACCTAACATGAAGTTAAAACTTAATTGTAAAATGTCACCTGGAGAGAAAGGGCAGGTTTTCCCAAACACCTCTCACTTTAGAGTACGCCCAGGCCACAAGCAGCGCCACCTGGCCAAAAATACGCTCCTGCATGTCGCCGGGCTCAGCCAACAGCTCCTCGAGGGCGACAGAGCAAGTGTGGAGGGTCTACAAGTTGCTGTCCAGGAGCAACACAGGTTCTGAGGTGGAATAAACTTTGGTCAGGGCCTCACAGCAGATTAGAGCAAACACTGCAGTCTCTGGAAATTCTGCGTTGCTTCCTGTGCCGCCTGCACATTAACTCCAGTATCTTCATGTGCAGATACCTATGTGAGCACAGAGCCAGGGCCAGTGGCCCGGGACGTTGATTCCCTGAGGCATGTTTTTTTTTTAAGACAGCCTCTCACTGTTCAGGTTGGCTTGAGCTTACTTTCTAGCCAGGCTGGCCTTGAACCTGCGGTGATCCTCCTGCCTCAGCCTCCTGAGTGCTGGGATTCCAGGTGCGCATGCCACACCCAGCCTGCATGTGCTTCTTTCCCTGCTGGTGTGTGACACTGCACTCTAGAGAGTCCTCCTGCATCACACAGACCAAGTGCTCTGGCAGTGGGATAAAGAGCAAGAGGGGAGGAGAGATCCACCTGCAGGATGCCAGCGGTCTGCAGCGGGGGCTGGTCGCATGCTATCCGCCTGCACTGGGGCCCGATATTTACACTAAGAACTTTGCCGATTTCATGGCTTTTGCCATCCACATCTAATTTTACCACCTAATTTTATCTATTATTCTACAACCATAGATGCTTTTGAAACATGGATGTTGAAACAGAACAGAGATCTCTTTTGCTTTAGGACAAGCCTCACAGGTAGGCACTTCAGATCAAGGGTGTTGCTTAGGGTGTTCCGTTAACTCCTTTATTTTGCATTTAGGTGTCTACATTCACGGATTGTTTTTGGATGGAGCTTCCTGGAACAGGAAGATCAAGAAACTCACAGAATCCTATCCCAAAATCCTGTACGACATGGTGCCTGTGGTTAGTATTTCCCAGTGCTTTCTACAAGGTAGACATGCATGTGCATGCAGTAGGCCCCGTATGTGTACATTCACAGCAGGGCCGCTGCTGCCAACCTGGAGTTAGCCAGCTGAACCAGGGCTCCTAGGTGTTGTAACCCACAAATCAAAAACCAGACTCAACTTAAAAGCACTTTCTCTAGCTGAGCTCAGCGGCAGCACATACTCTCATCTCCAAGTATGTGCGCGCCCAGGTGGGGAGAGACAAGGGTTTTTAAGGCTGAAAACCACAAAGGGGAGGTCTCGTGACTTGAGCGTGAGGGAACACAGCACGGGGGTCAGCGTCCACTATGGGAAGCAGGTTACATTCTTTTAACATGCGGTTACAATTTTCAGGAACAAACAATTTTTATGGCATGGTGATGATCAAGGGATGTCACAAGGTGGATATCGAGATAATTTCGGGAAGGGGGGGTTTCTCCTAGAACAGATAATCACTACCTTAGGATATGGGGGATGATTGCAGGATACATTGTGCAGAGTGCTTTTAACAATCTGTGGCTAAGAACAAAGGCACTCGCATGCGTCACGCTCGCTCACCCCAGCCCCTCTCCCCTCCCCGCCCTCCGCGTGCTCAGGGGAGCAAGCATGCATGCTGCTTTCTCTGGCCTGCGCCCTTCCCTTCTCATGCCGCTCCGGTCTGCCCACGTCCCTGCAGACGCCAGCTGCACTCTTCTGCGCAGCGGAGCTCGCTCCCTGCGTCTAGCGCGCGCAGACTCTGCGCGTTCCCTGCCGCGCACCTAGGCCGATGCCTGGCGCCTTATGCTGAGAAACAGGAGGATCCTCGTCTCCATCGTCTGCCCAGCTTAATTCCTCGGGTTTTGTGTTGAGGAACTGTACAGCTGGACCGGAAGGCAGTTCTCCTTTTAGCTTCTGGAGGGACTCCATCCTGATTTCATACTGGCCGCACGATCTGCATCCCTCCGACAGCGCATACAGGCTTCTTTCGCCTCGCAGGCATTTGCTATCTGTGTGTGTTCCGATGACAGCCACATGACGGGTGACATTTGCACTCCCCCATGGCTAATGAGAGTGAACATCTCTTTCTGCCATTCTTGGCTCTTGCATCTCATCTTCTGCAAAATGCCTTTCTGGTTCACTTGCCCATTGACTGGTTGGAATACTTGTTTTGGGGGTGTTTTTTGCATTACATGTTCTGGTATTAGCCCTCTGTCAGAGAGCAGCTGACACTGCCCTCGTTCTGTTGGCTGTTGCTCTGTTCTGTGGATTGTCCCTGATGTGCAGAAATGTTAATTTGATGCGATCGCATTTGTCAGTTCCTGCTATTGTCCTCTAAGCTTTCAGAGCCTTTTCAGAAATTCCCCTCTGCTAATATCTTGAAGTATCCCCATGTGTTTTCTTCTAGCAGTTTCAAAATTTCGGCTCTTACATTTCAGTCACTGGTCCACACTGATTCTTTACAGGGTGAGAGATTGGGCTGTGGTTCCGGTGAACGCCCAGGTTTTCCAGCGTCACCCTGCAGAGGCGCTCTGTTGTGTGTCTGTGTTTGCTGCTTTGGTTGACGATCATAGGGCAGCTGTGCCGGTGTGTCTCCGGGCCTCGGTGGGCTGTCTTGTTACTGTGGCGGCGCGGTATGTTTGTGGCCCGTCTCATGCCTTCTCTAGCTTAGCTCTTTTGCTTGGGATTGCTTTGTCTGATCAGAGTTCCTTCTGCTTCTCTAGAAAGTTAGGAGCGTTTTCTGTGCTCTTGTGAAGAATACTATATTTAGATGGTGACTGAAATGAATCTAGGTCACTCTTCCAACTTTGAGTGTCTTCAGTTGGGGTGGTTTTTTTCCTAGTGTTTTGTAATTTTTGTTGGAGAGGACTTTCGCTTCCTTAAGTTTATTCCTAGGTATTTTAAATTATTTTGATGGCTGTTGTGAATGGATTGCTTTCATGGATAGAAAAGATGCCTTTTTATGCTGATTTCATGTTCTCCTGCTCGAGTGGACTTGTTCTGAAGCGCCAGCAGCCTGGGCCCGCTCTTCTGTTCTCTGGGTGTGTACGCCTTTAACGCTGCCTAATATTTTCTCTGCCTTTTACTGTGTCTTTACTTTTTTTTTTTTTTTTCTTCTGATGAGAACTGGCAAACCTATTCCAGGGGTAGAAGAGTTGAGGCTGCCATCTCCTCCCCAGGGGACTCCTCAAACTATCCAGTGACATCTTTTGTTAAGTCACCAAGAGATGAACGAGGCACCAACTCTGCCTGCTGTGTGCAGGGCTTCCTTGCTGTTGCAAGCCTCTCCCATGTTGTGTGTCACTTTTCGTCAGTCACAGGCCCCTGAAGTCAGGTAAGAGGACGTCTCCCAGCCTGTATTCCTCTGGCATCTCTCCTTCTTCAGGTAGCGCTCGGATCCTTGGTTTGCGAGCCAAGCTCTGACTGTCCTTCCCGCGGTCTGCAGAGATGCAGTTCTGCGGGAGCGAGGGCAGGGCCTCCTCGGCGATGCTGTGACAGGGAAGGCAGTTTGCAGCCATGTCACTGGGTCGCAGGCCCGCCGTGCAGGGCAGGCCCAAGGCTCTGGCCCTCTGTCCTTCCTCGCTGAGCCCAGGGGCCAGGAAGCCATTGCACCATGCTCCCCAGAGCAGCCACGCCTCAGCTGGGAAGATGGCCCACGCGCCTCGGCAGCGGGACAGACGCGGCCACTACTTTGGAAGCCCTACAGCCATCCTGTTATCTGTCGCTTTTCCAAAGTGCTGCAGGGTTTCATCTTTCAGGATTGCAGGAAACTCAAAACAGCACCACTGTGTTGTATTTTACAAAACTTAGACCGTTTTAAAACAGCATTTTTCAAAGTTGATTTTTACCTGTTATTCATCTTGGCCTAAATATAACTTGGAGAGTAAAAAGACAAGGCCTGAAACCTGACTTCCTAAGAGAGAGGGGAAACTGCACCAAGACCCCATGTAGCAACCTGCAGCCCTCCCGCTCCCCTCAGACTCCTCCAGCTTAACTCCCAGATGGCAGTGACCTGCACAGTGTGACCTAAAGCACTGCTTGGTGAGCCACAGAATAAGGTGCTAGTGGGTAGCCCCAGGGAACTTGGATTAGCCTATTTTTAGTTACTTTTTTAAAAAAATTATTTGGTACAGGATCTCACTACGCAGCTCAGACTCATCGTGACCCTCCTGTCTCAGCCTCCCCAGCACTGGGATTACAGGCGTGCGCCACCACGCCCAGTCAGTGGCCAGCTTAGCACGTGGTGCTGGGGACCGAACCCCTCCCTACACTTGTCTCAGCAGGCACTTGGTCTGCTGAGCTATCTCGCTGGCCTTTTAGTTACATTTAAAAGAGGAGAGAGGGCTTGTAACCTGGCATGCTCAGTACTGGCCCAGACACGCCTGGGTTCAGTGGCACCGTCTGCCCCGGCCTGTGCCGTGCCTTGTCTGTGTGCTGGCCTGCCTGTCCTCGCTGGTACAAGGCTTGCAGCTGCTCTGCTTTTCTTTCGGGCTCCTGTGTTTTCCCTTACAGATTTCTCCCTCTATATTTGGACTATTAAAAAAAAAAAGGAAAAGAGTCTCTTTAAAACCCCAGCCATGACTATGAGAACATTCCGGGATCATTCTTACATAACGCTCACAAATAAAAGCCTTAACACTGAGCGACATAAAGCTTGAAGTATAAACGTGCTACTAAATGTGCTTCTGCACACATCCTTGAAAACGTGCTCTCCCGGCTGGCCTGTGGCGAGCGGCCCCTTGTCACGAGCCCACGTGCCTTTGTTTACGTGACTTAACGAACAGCTTAAGCTGTTCAGTAAAATCAAGCGGCCTTAAGTTGCAGACACACGTCCTGCCTCGGTCGCGGGCCGGCATATTAACATTTACTATTACTAGAAAGACACAGCCAATAGGGCTTCCTTGGGCAGCGAAACAGCAGAAGTGCTGGTTATGTTTGTCTAATAGCTTGATTTCAAAGCAATATAAAATTAGTTAACACACATAAATTAGAATATAAATGTATGCAATAAACACCTGAGTCAGCAGCAGCTAAACAGAAATTCAGGCATTCTTGGTTACTACAACTTTGTAAAAAGAAGATAAATAGGCTTATTAAATATATTTTTATAAATCACTGCATACAGTTTTCAGATTGCTTTCTTAAGATTACCAGGGATTAAAATTAATTATATTTGTATTATTACTGTATTTGGTAAAGGGTCTCACTAGGCAGCTAGGACTCATTGTGATCCTCCTGGTTTTAGCCTCCCCAGCGCTGGGATTACAGGTGTGTGCTGCCA